TTTCGTATTGGAAAAAAATACCAATTACATTGTTAATAAATAAAAATTAATAAACCCTCTAAATATCGCTCCCCGACTCATATTTGTTCTATATTAAACAAAATTATTTGTCCAACAAATCAAAATAACAAATTCAATTGAACTTCTTTGGATTTCGGCAAATTTATATATTCTGAACGTATTGTCTTCTCTTGTATATTATTTATTGAATTCTAGTTAATAATATTATTGACTATACACCTATATATATGTAGCAAATTTTAATATAACAATAAAAAACAAAATAAAACAGATTCTTATTTTATTTTGAACCACAAAAAAAGAAAAATTAATTAATAATAGAAATAGATTAATGAGAACACGAATATAAAATCATTAATAAAATGTAAAATACGAGTAAGTAAAAAATTTTGATATTCTCACTTTTTTTATGTTAAACGCCATTCAATCTATTTCTTCTTAAAGAATAAGAAACCTCACATATACACAAGTAAATTAATAACATATTTTCGATTTAATTCTTTTCATTCTTTTCATTTATTTATTTTTTTCTTTTTCTTTCTTCTTTAGTTTTATCTATGTCATTTTAGACATTGATTACAAATTTCGACAAATTTATGTTACACCACGTAATAAGATTTTTTTTTTTACATTTTGATCATATTGTTATACGGATAATGACTAACATGAGAAGAAAAAAAAAAAGGATTTTGTAAGAAAATGATTAAAAATGTATTGTGAAATGTAATAACGCATTTTTTTACATGATTTAGTAAGAATTACAAAAACCCTTAAACTTGACCATGAAAATTTTCTCTTTTTCTAATTTCCAATGTAAGAATTACAAAAAAAAAAATTATCTATTATTATACATGACCATTGTAATAACTAAATACATAACACAGTTTTGTAAAAATCGTAACCACAAGTTGAACAAAATACATAAGTAATGATTATTATCTTAATAATTTTTATTCGTGTATATAATCTAAGATTTTAGTTTCCAAATTAAATGTATATGTACATACTGCTAATATAATAATATACAAAAATGCTAATATAATAATATATGGAACATATTATTTTTATTAAACTAAACAAAGTATATAATAAATTCCGATGAATTTAGTTATTTAATGGGACAAAAAAATACAATTTGCAAATAAAAAAGAAAAATAATACAAAAGAAAACATGGAAGAATATTAAAAGTAGTGTTCATAATATCGAATTTAAAATAATTCGAAAAACAAAAACTAGAAAATTTTGATTAAGATTTTTTAACAATAAATTGAATTTTTGTTTTTATTATTTTAAAATAGAGATTTTTCAAATATCTAGATTGCAGATTATGTTATTCTAGAATTTTAGCACTTCATTTCTCGTTGTAGATTCACGCGTATAAGACCCTTAAAACCTCAAAGTATGTACCTTGGTAAATAATGGAATTTGTTTTATTATTAAAACTGCAATAAAAAAAATATAGTAGCTACAAATTTTGCAAAAATATTTTCATTAACTAAATTAATATTTAGTATTCAAGCATAATTATAACAATCAGAAAAATCATTTTCAAATCAATATTAAATATAAATTTTATTTTATTACTTGAAAATATTCCAAATATTTTAAATATTTTTAATTTATACATATAATGTATGTGATTAAACCCACAAATACACATAAATATTTGAAATTATAACTTGTATTACTTAATATTCGACAGAAAATCTAATTTCCAAAATTTAACCGAACATTTATGCTGTAACTAATTTTTTTGTCCAACATCTCTCCTAGAAAGAACATTACTTTTTATTATGAAAATATTATATATATATACACATATTTATTTAAAAGTACATTGGGTTTTATATAAAAAAAAATTGTATACGAATATATTAATAAAAAACATATTTAAGGGTTTTCATATAAAAATTATTTCAAATATGTATGGAATTTTCTTTTCTATTCCTTTATTTTGTATTTTTTTTTTGGTCAATTTGTAATAATATTGATTGGTGATAATGGGCATACGACAAAAAAATAAAATTATTTTTTTCAAATTTTTCAAATTGATTTGAAAAGAAATCATTAAAATAGAATTTGTATATTATTATATTGTTATATTTATAATAATTGAATATTTGAATAAATTATTCCGGTCAATAGAAAACGTTTAATATTCAAAATAATGGTATACGCGAGAATAAACTATTATAATAAAAAATTATGAAAATCTTTTACAAATTCAAAATATATTTTAATTTAATTTTATTAAATTGAAATTTTAATAAGGGAATCAAAAATTCGGAAAATTTATTACTATAAAATCAATCTTATTGAATATATTTACAAAAATTTATAATTTTTTACATAATAATTTGCTATTTTAATAAACCACAATTAAAATTAAGTACTATTGAAATGGTTAAAATGTTTTTGAGATAAATTAATCGGAAAATGCAAATAAATTATGTACATTATTCAAAAATGAATAGCATTTGACTATAATATATTTTATTGTAATTTAATAATTTTTGCCAATAAAAATATTTCTGATATCAATATAATTGTGAAAGATCTAAATAATGTTAGTTGGAAAATTAGCAGGCGGGCTGATAATATATAAATGCTTCTAAATATTATAATATTAAAAATAATATATATTCTTTGCGTTAAACTAAATTATGCAAATTATGTGTTTACAATTCATTAATTTATATTCAATGCAAATTTGTGCTCAGATTCAATGTAAATTTATTTAAAAAATTCAAAATCAATTAATTAGGCTCTTGATAACATATATTCTTTTCATAATTTTATATGTAGCGCTGAATTTAATACATTTATACATTTAATATATTTTATAGATTTAATTACAATAAGAATAACAAATTTAACAATAATTTTTGTTTAAAGTATGCTTTTTATCGTTCATATAAAAATAAGAATTGAATTTATGGTAATAACAACATTCCAAATATGTTAACATAATTTTATTTGGCCTAAATATAATTGTAAATATAAGTTGTAAGAAACAGGCAGCTAATTGGTGTTTTTATTTATAATATTATCAATCTATAATTAAAAGAACTTGAAATTATTTTGCTTTGAATTAAATTAAAAATGCAAAAGATAAAAAGTGAGCTCTATACTTAAATATATAAAAAATTTAAAAATATATTTTTCATTTTTAAACCAGCTAGTCCAATAAAAATCAAATTTTTCAATAAAACTTACTTTTTTCGCATAAAATTTCATTTATATAAATTAATATATTATTAAATAATTGGAAACACATTTAACTTTAAAAAAATTAACTTGTCTAACACTACTCAATTAAAAAAAATATGAGATCTTAAAATTTTCTATTTTTATATTTTATCTACATTACTATTTTTTATCTGCAAACAAATTTTGAACCACTGGAATATTCCAGAACATTTAGTACATCTTCAATTCATATGAAAAAAAAAACCATTGCTTTGCTAAAAAAAAAATACAATATCATAAAATTAAAATAATTTCAATTAAAAATATTTACAATAACGATTACTTGAACACCTTGAGAAAAATTATAGCACATGATTAATTAAATAGATTTTACTTAAAAAATTCTAATGACGCACCGCACCTAAAATACAGATTTTGCATTCTTTGGGAAAATTAAGAAAAATTTATGTTGTCTAGTAAAATAACTATTTCTATTAAAATTAATTTCTAAATTTATAAAATAATTTATTTTATAAGTAGAAACCTACCCATCTTTAAAGATCACAAGATTTTAAATAATTATATTGTCATTATATTAACTTGCAAAACAATATGTAGTTAATATTTGAATATTACCTACATACTTAGGTATCTAACACCATTCAAAAAAATTACATTTTATTGTCCTCCTTTAACATAAGTACTTATTATGTACCTACTTATATCAACATCTAATTTTACTTTTAATAATAAATTTTTATTCATTTATTTTTCATTAACTAAAAAAAATATATGTACCAACCTAATTAATGTAATAATTAAGAAAATATAAAATGAACTATATACAAAAAGGCCGCGCCCTTTCAAAATATTATTATGTTGATATTATAACAAAAAATAAATAAGACATTTACATTTACTAGTTTAGAAAGATTAAAATTTTTAATCCTTACGACAATCCTTTAAAGCGAAGAACATCCAACAACAACAACAATAATAATAATAAAAGTAAATAAATAGAACATAAGGTAAAGGAACTATTATTATTTTCTTTCATCCTTTCTTTATTATATCTTTTATTAGTATCTATAAATGATGGTACATAGTAAATAAAAAAAAAAATATATTCATATTATACATATTATGTACATAATAATGGAATAAGTTACCTTTATATCTACTAGGTATATTTTATTTCTACTAGGTATATTTTTATAATAAAATAATAGCATAATATAAAATATGTAAATATGATTATATTTTCCTATATATTTTGGTACAAATACCCTCATAGTTTTTTGTTCAAGTACCCAAAAAGTAAAATAAATGCAAAATAATATATAAAGATAAATTTAAATGATTTCTTATGAAAAATGGGTGGTGGCACATTCATTTTAAAATAATTAAATATTAAATTTTAAAATAACCACTAAAAAATGCTTAACTTTAATTTTTTATATATAATATTATAGTTTAAATTTCTATTAATTTTCTCTTATTAAAATAAGTTTATTGCCATCAAGTTTATTAAAATGTAACGTATGTACATATTCTTGTTGAAAATTAAAATTGAGAAAAATACAATTGTAATGCATCCTACATAATACATATGAAAAGTGTGTCACTAGGTCTTTCATCCTGCCATATACAGAAATCATATTTTAAATAATATAGATATAGATATATGTAGGTACCTTAAAAAAAAAAACAGCTTTAAATATATTTTGTTTTTATTAAATTTTATCTACTTCTTAGTTTTTTTTCTCTTCTACATTTTTTGTTTTCTTACCTTAAATGGTTTTTTGGTTTCTTCCATTGTAAATGAGTTTTTGTCTTCTTAGATTGGTCCTTTTTTTAACAAAAATTGAATTTGTAACACCTTTTTTCACTTAAACTTAATTAATTTTTCTTGAAATTATTGAATTTTTTATTTAACTAAACAGTCTTTAATGAAAATTTTTATAAAATATTAAAAAAAAAAGCAATTGTAGCACAAATTTCTTTTTTAGGGTTAAAAATCCCTTCAGTTCTTCTTTGTTTTTGTAATTCACAGCTATTCTTATAACACTGTTCTGTTGTTTAGTTTGTTTCTCTTTATTTTGACAGTTCTTTATTATGAAAATTTTTTTTTTTTTGTGTATTGTTGCTATTTTTTTTTTTTTTGTATGCCACAAATACCAGTATACCAAAAACAGAACTATACAGAATTTAGCCGGATTTTTGTTTTTTACTTATTTTTATTTTCGCTCACTCTTTAAGATAACAAAACTGGTATTATAATATTGTATATTTAAATATTCCGATTTTATTTGACAACTACCGAACACAAAAGTTGAAAATCGAATGAATAAGAAAAAATAATTCATCTTAAATATATATTAAAAGCTTTTAAAATATAACATTAAAAAGCTTTTCCATGAATACAGAATTGCTTAAACATACTCGTACAATCAAATAAAATAATGTAAATCAACATACATGTGGAAACATACATACATAATAATTTTATGCTTTCTGTAATTTTGTATGTTTTGTATAATATGGAGGCGCACTTGTACATGAAATATTTTGAAGTTGTTGTTTATAAGAGTTTCTTTTTATATATATAAATATATATTTTTTTAAAGTGCTTTTATGTTTTATTAAATAGATATATAGAAATGTATAAATATATAATATATTACATAAATAACATAAACATGAGTGTAGTAGACAAAGGTACATTGAGTTTTGAAAATGACTTATAATATTAGAAATTTTTAGAAATTATCATGTAATACAATTTATAAAAATTTTGGTTAATTTAGAAAAATATTGTAAATAAAATATACAGTACTTTTGTTTGTATGATGCAAAATTGAACCCTTCATTCAATAATGCTACATTGTTAAACAGAGCTTGGTCTACTAAATGATATTCTAGTCTATTAAATGTCAAAAATTAATCCTATATACAAATTCACTAAACATAAATAAATTTTTTGTACCTGTTTCTTTCAGTATATTGAATTTCAAGGTGTGACATAAAAGTTCCATAAGAAATTAACTTTTTGAAAGAATTTTGACATTTCATATGTTTTGTAGATATTTCGCGAAACCATATACGATGCCATAAATATTTTAAAAATGCTATAATAAATTGACACCATGAATTTTATACTGTTGCTTGCTGCTGAAATATATTGTAAGAAACAAATAGTTTTGACAGCAACCAAATCAATCATAAACTTACTTGACAAAACTATTAATCCAAGTTTGCAATCATATTACAAAATATTGAATTCTTATTGCGTCGTATTAGTTTAAAAATTCATTTGCCTATTTCATATGCAAATATTTTGGATTTCATTGTTGCATAAAATAAAATGCATATATTTTTATAAATATTTATTTTCATAAAATATGCAGTTTATCGATATATTCCATGAATAATTAAAATTAAAAAAAACGAAAATTTGGAAAAAATTTTTGATAGCCACAAATAAAAGAAATAAAAATAAAATGGAGTTGCATTTCAAAATGAAAAAAAAATATTAATATTTTTTTAGAATTAAATACTTTTTGGAATTTAACTTTCTGTTTTTACTTTATAATAATTAACTATTCAATTATGTTAATAAATAGCATAACTAATATAAATTCATTAATTAAAAATTTAAATACAAAATAATAATTAATTAAAAATCGTTATTTTTAATATTTAAAAAATAAATTCTTTTGTTTTTATTCAAATAATTAATTTAATATGTAAATTATATATTAAATATCTATATTATAATTAATATTAATTAAATAAAATTTTTTTTTACTCATTTCGATATAGTTTCATTGAAATTAAATTAATTTAAATAATAATGAAAAAATATATTGTACATTTACATATTTATATATATGAATGCATATATATTGTATATATATTTTTACTTATTCAATTATTTATTATATATAATTGTTATATCTATCTTTATTTCATTATATTTTTATCCACTTATTGATAATATTTGTAGGAATGATAATGTTAATGGAATTTAGTTATTATCTTAAAAATGGAAAAAAATTCTTCTACATAAATACGAAATATATACCAAATATATGTATAAGATATTATAATATATTCAATATTTTCTATCCTTAAAATTTTTATATACTTCAACATACGTATTATGTATAAATTAATAAAATATAATAATAAAATAATTTGTTTAGAATTTAACAAAAACATTTTTGGTTCGGGTTTATTTTTGGAATTTATTGTATGTACATAATATAAACATTCATACATTCTCATAATTTTTATGAATTACAATAATTATCACATATATACATAGTATAGATATATTACTGCATATATATAACAAAACCAACAATTATTGTAATACAATAATCCCTTCACATAAATTCAAGAAATACATATATTCATGTTATACTTTCTATAATAAAAGCTTTTATATAACATAATTACACTGACAATTTTAGTTTATATATATATATATATATATATATATATATATATATATATATATAAATACAATGAATTTCCAAAAAAGAGAATTATCTATTCTTTTAAGGATCTATTTAATATACTATTACTAGATTTACATACATTTAATTCTATTATAAATGTATATATATACAAGTATATACATATATCAGACTTTTAACAAATCATATAATAACTATACATAGCTATGTATGTATTTAATATTATCCTAAATTTCAGTTAAAAATAATACCCCTAATTATATGCAATCTATAAAATAATAATGTTTAATAAATTTAAAGAAATATTTGCAAATGGATAGCTTGGATATCTAGCTCTAACTAGATTATATCTAACAAATATTTTCATTTTGCAGATTAATATTTTTTTTTTCATTTTTTTATTTCTGTAAATGTACGTGATCTTGGTCTTCATATTATATGTGCAACATCTAAAAAATAAAAAAGAAAATAAATTTATGTTAAGTATGCAGACATTCATCTTTAAAATTCTTAAGCACAAAATAAAAAAAATTGCAAGAAAAGAAGTTAAAAATAACAGAAAACATATAAATATTTATGTATATGTGTATGTAATATTGTTACATAGTATTAATTTTGAAAATTATATCTTTATGTATATGAATTTATTAATTCTTAAGAATTTATTATTCAAAAAAAATTCTTCTTATATTCGCTCTTCTTTAAAAAAATTAAAATAATATTTATGAATGTGTGTGTATGTGCACTTAAGCCGACATTAAACGATTTGGATTATGGAAAGAGAAAAAATTCATTTTACACTGAAAATATAATTTAAATTAAAATTTAAAAAAAAAAATCATATAAGATTAAAAATGATGAAGGTCATTAATATCAATATTGTTTTCTTCTTTAATTATCATTTAAAAAGACAAATTCAAAAATTAAAAATAATTCATTTGACTTTTATATTTTCTCTATATAAATAAAATCTCGTATTTACCGCTATAAAAAAAAATAAAAGCTATAGCTAAGGTCTATTTTTAATATAATCCCTCAGTTCAATTCATTCGTTTTGATGGTATTATGACAAGTTTGAAATCATGAAGTTTATGTTGGGACATTTTTCATAATTCCGTTCCAGTTTAGTGCTACCATAATGTTATGTTACTATCATATGTCAAGCTTCTGTACAACCACAAATTTTTAATAGATTAAAATTTCTGTACAACCACAAATTTTATTTGAAGAAATTTAAATTTTTTAAGTCTATTTTAGAAACTAATATTTTAGGGATTATATAATTTGTTAAAATTATGAGATTTTCGTTTTAGTATACTGAATGATCCGGAAATGGTATTAAAACTCATTTTTGCTAATATATTTCATGCGCTACATACGAACTTTTTCAAAGCTGATTTTCTTCCATTAAAACTCTCAGGTTGTTATTACTTAGAGTTCTTTAGGTAAAAATTTTTCATGAGCGTTGGAAGAAGGTTGGGGGGGGGGGAGAAGTAAATAGCTCAAACGTCTGTTGTTATTTTTATGGAGTGTTACAAAAAAGCCAGTTTGTAAAAATTTTAACTGACAAACATCCACAATATTAAAGCTTTTGTATTTAGATCAATATGTTGTTGCGAATTCAATAAAACTACGTAACAGTATTACGAATGATTCATATAAGACTTACCGTTTTCGAGTAATAGATTTTTTTATATCGTTAATAAACCACCCTAAATGAAGTGGATAATGCTAAACCACCTTATTCCGATTTTGACAAACACATTTGATTTACATATATGATTAAGAATATTGTATATATATATGTACATACTTTTATGTGTACTAGCGTACTTACCTTAAAAAAAAATTATTTTTCTCAAAAATAAATTTTTTTTTTTATCTACTTTTATAAAATATTCTTTTATAATCAAATACAATAATGCATGTTATTGCACTTTATACAATAAATTTTTGCTTCTTACAGAAAAAAAAAAACAAAAAATTAAAATGTCACTAAAACAATTTAACCTTGTTTTTAATATCCTTGATAAATTTTTTAACATAAAAGACCTCATTTTTTTAAATATACATATACGACCCTAATTTTATGAAAGTTTATTAAATATGAAAATAAGAAAATTTTCTTATTTTACATATATTATGTATGTATATGTATATTGTATATAAATAAATAAATAAAATATAAATGTACTTATAATGCCAAAAAATGATACATTTACCTCATTTAATTCGGCAAAAAAAAAATTAGAAGTAAAGCAATAACCTACAATATAATAGTTTTGAAATTGTTAATATTTCTGTTAATTAAATGACTAAATTCTTACTTTAGTACTTAGCCCCTTGTACTCGTAATTGTTATTATTTCAAATTGATTTCGAAAAAATAATTACGAGTATTAGTCTAGAAAACGAAAAAAATATTTATAATTTGTTATATTGTATAACAGTTTTTTAAATAAATAATTTAATTTCAAGAGTTTTTGTAACACAATATGTATATGAACTCGCTAATTTAAAATTTTTTTTCAATATATTTATAACAATTATGATTAACAAATCTTCTTCTTCTCTCCTTGCCTAATTCCCGTTATGAGGGGTCGACTCCATTAACAAATAATTAATTATAATCATTATGTAAAATGATAACTGTTATACATATTGCTTAAATTTTTTATTTGAAGTATATATAACAAAGATGAAGAATATATTCATTGAAAAGAAGATTAACACTTTCTCAGTCCGCTGAGCCACATATCGTTCAGGAAACGTGCACTTGATAAGTACTGATACGATCCTGTGCCATATGTGCGTCAGGAGGTATATTCTTCTAAAGTAAATTATTCGAC